ATTTTCCTCCTGAAAACACTCTGTCTCACACTCAGATAACCCTAAACTGTCTCACCGTTTACCATCAGTCCTTACCTGAGTGTGGGTGGACTAGGTCTGCAAATCCTCCTTTTACAGTTGCCCTTCTTTGGGAACCATCTCTGGGAATATGCTTCAGTTTAAACCTCAGATCCTTACAGTGTGAATCAGATGCAGGTGGGTTCTTATCTCCAACTGTTAGAATTTGGCTTCCATAGTTTCTTTGATAACCCTCAGAGATTTACCAGGGAGTTGGGCAAATACTTTGATAAATAGTGCTCTTTAGGGGCATTGAAACTTCAAGTGACTTTTTGGGGAGTATTCCTATAAATGAGTACTGGAAGGACTTCTATCCCTATCAGGAGTTGGAAGCAATAAATAAGCCACTCATTAAATGGCTTAATGAGCCATTGACTGGTCAAATGGCTAGACTGTGACCTTTGCCAGAAAGAAGAGGATAACACCAGACTTAGACCAATAGTTAAAACCTTAAAGTACAATGAATGGCAAGGATGGAAGGGAGCCCCAAACAGAGGAAAGTGCTCAAAAACTTGAAACCACATTAGATCTGAGTTATATTTCTGGCACTCTTGAAAAAGAGCCCTCTGCTCTTCTTATACTTCTTTACCGTGAATCTATTATGGGATGATCTTGTTAGTAAAACATAATTATGCGTTTTTCTTCCTTGGTTGTCCTTCCTTTCTGCATTCCAACAATCAAGCCATGGCCACTCTTCTCTGATTGTGTTCGTGTTGTTTACATGAGAGTTATCTACAAGACCAGGCTACACTTTAATTCTCCATACAACACAAGGTTAGACAGAGTCATTTTCCCTGGGCTCTTCAGCCGTCTCCTCAGAAGACATGAACAGACATTTCGGCAAAGAAGACATCCAAATGGCCAACACACACATGAAAAAGGGTTCAGCATCACTCGGCATCAGGGAAATCCAAATCAAAACCTCAATGAGATACCACCTTACACCAGTCAGAATGCTAAAATGAACAGATCAGGAAATGACAGATGTTGGCGAGGATGCAAAGGGGAACCCTCCTACACTGTTGGTGGGAATGCAAGCTGGTGCAGCCACTCTGGACAACAGTATGGAGGTTCCTCAAAAAGTTGAAAATAGAGCTACCCTATGACCCAGCAATAACACTACTGGGTATTTACCCCAAAGAAGGTTTTGAATGCACCTCAATTCAACAGCTTCTCTCTCTGCAGCATAGTTACTTATAATTGTCCACACCACTGTTAAGCTCTCCTATATACCTAGCCCTAGGCTGTGTGATGGGGAAATATCAGTGAAGAAGATGCAGGGACTTTTCACCCCTATTCCCCTATTCTTATCGCTTAAGCTGCTTCCCCACCAGTAAAGTCAATCTGACCCAGGTCTTCACAAAGGACCATCCCTTCCTTCATGTGATCTTCAAACTCCTACAAGCTCTCATCTGAGTCACCAAAGCCCTGATTCTTTGGCTTTCAGTATCTATGGCTGGCACCCCAACTTTGTTTACCCATATTTTCCAACTTCCTCTTTTGCCCTATCAGCCATGCTCTGCAAACTCCTTTGATTGTGGCATTACTGAAAATTTCTAGGTAAAGTAATCCACAGCAGTCTTCCCTGAAGGGGAGAGAAAATGAAGAGTGACTCAGGAGAAAGAGAAGGAACTAATATTTGCAAAATTATTGTGTATCAAACACAGAGATAAGTACCTCGCTTATATTATTTAATTCAGTAGCAGAAATGTATGCAATATACTATGCCAAGTGAAAGAAATATATAGCACAAAGAGATAACATAATAGGGAGAGTGATTTACCCTACTGAGCATTGAGGGCATGGCTGGATATTTTTCATACATGAGGTGGATATTTTGGTGACACAGAAGATAGTGCTGGCCAAGTTCTGGGCAGTCATAGCATGCCAATTTGCCTTCAAGCTTCTCCTATTTCTGTCCTCTGGTTCATTCCATACACAGCAACCAGAGAATATAAACCCACTAGAGTGATTTCCCTTTGGAATGGACCCTTAAATCTCTTCAGCTGTGAACAGGTATGTAGATCTGGCCTCCCCCTCCATTTTCAACTCTAGTTACTCTTCCTTCACTCACTTCACTCCAGCCACATTGACCTGGGTTCTTAAAAGTACCAGGTATTTTTCAGCCTGGAAGACTTGTTACATGCCCTCTGGATGGCATGTCCTCCCCAACCTTGCTTAAAAAGTGGATGAACTCTTGGACTAGAGCTTGTGTATTCAGCTAATTACCAGATTGGAGGCATTTCAAACAAGTTCTGTTCTTCAAGCATAAGAAATTCTTATCTGACAACCTGGCTTGGTAAGGAATTTCATTTCCTAAAGGCTTATTTGTTAAATGGAGACCTTCTGTTTCCCTCAGAAATGTTAGCAAGTGAGAGGGTTGAGTTTACCTAGGGAGTGGGTTTGCTTATGGTTGTGGATATTGTTTTTGGTCTTTAGCTTATCTTTGATACTTAGACCTGAAAGTTTCCTTACTCACATTATGAATGTTGTACATGTAACTGGTATGGACTTTGAATTTCTGACCTCTGGTTACTATTGCCATATTTTATGTAATTATTAGCTGTTATCAAATAAATAAACAATGAGTTAATCACATTTACTACAACAGAAATTATTATAGGGCTACCACCTGTCTGTTTCACTGGATGGCTTGAATTTTGGAGATCATTTTACTGCTGGGAAACTCTTAAGCTGTCCAGGAGGATTTGGTTTAGTTGTGGCTATTTCTCATGTGTTGTGTACTTTTTTTCTACTCCTGCTTGAAAACACCATTGGCTGTTATTTGGCAAATGCACATCTTGGGATGGAAAGGGGATGATTAACACAGCAGGTGCTTTTAACAGAGGAAGAAATCTGATGGACAAAGGGAATGGTGACTTCTGTGGGAGTTTGGGATTTGTTAGGGCTGATCTCAGGGTCTCAGTGATGGTAAGAACAGGTGGGCTGGGCCAGATGATTAAACAGAAACGGAAAATCCTGTAGGGCAGGCTGGGTGGGAATACAGAGCTGAATTAAGCAAAGTATCTTAGGATCCACAGCCCTTCAGTACAAACTCTCACTCCTCTTTCCCTCTCCTTTGTCCCAGTGAAATATTAAAAGCAATCATAAGCTCATCAAAGGAGGAAGAAGACTTTCAAGGATTTAGGGCTTTGTGTATGTGCGTGTGTGTGGGGAGTGAGTTAAGGGTGAGAGAGGAGGGTCTTATTCTTTTGCAAGACATCATAAAACAAGACAGACACCTGTTATTGCAATAGTGTGCAGTGATATCTTCTAATAAGATCAGGAAAGGCCATTATCTGATAATCAGGGAAGAATACTTAAGTCCATTGTGCAGCATTTTTAAAAAGACTGCATTGTATTTTTTAAAAAGGTTGAGAACAACAATCTTCACTGGGAGATTCCTGAATAGGGAAGATGGACTAATAGGAAATGCAAAATTTATGACATCTGTTATGAAATGGACTGGGAAAAAAACCATTCTCATATATACCAGAAATGAGCTTTGGTAGAAAGTAATATACTAAGAATATTGTTGCCCAGTAAGACGAGATCTTAGGAAAATAAAGTCATCATGACTTGAATTCATTTCTCACAATGTTCAGCTCCACATTCATATTTCTTATTTGTCAAGAAATCGTTTTCACATTGGTGTGGCTGATAGAAATATAAACTATTTAGAATCAACTTGTACAAATTTATACTCACTCAGTGGAACCAACCGTATTGACCCATCAGACACCTCAGAAGCATGAAAATAGAGTGGATATATAGCAGAGAGTGGCTATTTTGCCATTTGCAACCACATGGATGGAACTGGAGGGTATTATGTTGAGTGAAATAAGTCAGAGAAAGACATGTATCATATGATCTCACTGATATGAGGAATTCTTAATCGCAGGAAACAAACTGAGTGTTGTTGGAGTGGGGGGTGGGGTGGGAGGGATGGGGTGACTGGGTGATGGACACTGGGGAGGGTGTGTGCTCTGGTAAGCGCGGTGAATTGTGCAAGACTGTTGAATCTCAGATCTGTACCTCTGAAACAAATAATGCAATATATGTTAAGAAAAAAAAAAAGAAGAAGGAGGTAGCGGGAGGGGAAGAATGAAGCGGGGGAAATCGGAGGGGTAGACGAACCATGAGAGACAATAGACTCTGAAAAACAAACTGAAGGTTCTAGAGGGGAGGGGGGTGGGAGGATGGGTTAGCCTGGTGGTGGGTATTGAGGAGGGCACATTCTGCATGGAGCACTGGGTGTTGTGCACAAACAATGAATCATGGAACACTTCATCTAAAACTAATGATATAATGTATGGGGATTAACATAAGAATAAAATAAAAAAATATATAAAAAAAAATTAAGTAATAGTAGGCCATTTAAGCACTGCATTGGCCAGCAATCAACAATTTGAATGTTCCATTTGAACTTAAGCTATAAATGGCAAACGGAGATCAAGGAAGGAAGTAGCTGAGAAAGGAATTAGTATGGGTATTTGATAAATACAAATGACATGAGCCCTTTGTTTTTTGGTTGACTAAAGACATCTACTTTGTATATAACTTTCCAAATAATTTTAATCATTAAAAAAAAATGTCAGATAGCTTTACACAAGTCTTAAATCTAATGCCCCTCTATTCAATTTGAGACTTTTTTTTTTTTAAGGAGCTTTTTTTTTTTTGTAACTCTGGCTTTGTACTATGAAATCATGGCTCTCAGAATCGTAAGACATAAGGTTATGAAAGAATCTTAGAAATTATCTAAAATAATCTAAGATAATTGTCTCTTAGTTCTTAAACTTAACTTGTTAAAAATCCACATGCTAAGTCTACTGAAATTAGGCTCTGGGAATGGAACAATGCCAGATATTTTTAAACACTTCTCAAGGTGATTTTGATTCAGTGATTTTGATTCAGTGAAAAGGTGATTTTGATTCATTCTACAGAGAGATACGTCAGTTCTAGAGATGTTTAACAACCTAGCCAAGGTCACAGATTTGGTTTGGATGAATGTGAACTAAAAGCAGAACTTTGGACTTTCAGGTCAGTGAGCCTTCTTCCTAAAACATCAGCAAGCTAGACAATTTAAAATACAAATTAGTCATCATTGTGAAGGTACTAAATTCCACTGACTTTTACACTTTAAAGTGGTTAGTTTTATGTTATGGGAATTTCACCTAATAAAAACAATATTAAAAAGTACTAATTTTATTTTATCAGCACATAAGCAAGTTAATGAATTTTCTAAATATCACCGAGAATGGGAACCACATATTATGTCTGGCTAGTGCTACAGCTAACAGGGAAACTGTTGATATGTACCATTCAAGCTACTAAATCAGCTTTCTGGTCTGTAAGAGGAGGGAATGGGGATGATAATGTCTTCATTGTTGAATTAATGTAAAGCTTTGAAAGAGGCTGTATGTAGTGTGCCTGGCACATAGTAGGTGGTCATGGCTAGATATGCTTTAGGATATACAGCATGTCATGTGCTCTTGTAATCTCATTTTGCTTACCACAGTGTCTTATACATGATAGGTAATTAATTATTGACTCATCGATTAATAGACACAGAAATCATCACAGCCTCTTGTTGGGTGAAAATAACTTTCTTTGAAATCTCACTTTGAGAGAGAGCTCAGCAAATTCCATTTACTCCATATGTGAATGTTCTGCTTTCCTGAGTCTGATTAGGTTACAAGTTGTAAGGGCAGGGCTCATTTTAGGGTAATTACAGCATTAAATGCACCCAGAAGGCTATTATACACTGGCCATATCCAATGCATATAATAAATAATTGGGCAAATAAATAAATAAAAATTACAGCTCATAAAAGTGCCTCGTTAACTTGCCCAATACTAGTGTGGCTCTTGCAATTAATTTTAAACTCTCTTGTTTCTCCTTTATTAAGTAAGCTGAAATAAAATAGAAATGATATAATTGTTTTTGCTTTCTCATTTGGAGAAATACTCGTGTAGGCTTAGTTCTCACAGCACACAAAAAATGAGACTAGATGAGCCCCATTCAATACACGAACAACAGAATTCTGAACAATAATGGAATCGCCCTTATTTTTCCACCTTTATTCCATATATATTCCAATGTAGAGGACATGATTCTCATGAATTTAGGAAAATAAAAAACACCTATTTTGTCATTATTGAATCATTCTAGGGAAAAATTAGAATTCGCCCTTTTCTTGTGACTATTGTTTTGTGAGGTTTCCTTGTTATTAAGCCCATCTCCTCTCTTTTAGTGGGGAAAATGCACATGGGCACACATGCTATAGATTCATCTTTTGGCTTGTATCTTTCATCCCCAAATTCCTGGTCTTATATAATCAGACAATAGATTATGAGAACCCAGAGGTGAAGTTTGCTAGTACATCTTCCAGGAAAATTATTAAATGAATGATTTTGTTTTATGAAAACCAACTGATAGCCTCTTTAGAAAAATAGACATAATGTGATCTGTTTGGGTAAATTTTACAGATCTTAAGGGTGTGTGGTGGTGGAAGTGGACAGTGTTTGAGAGAGACCTCTCTCTTTTGTACTAGTTTTATAAACTCTACTCTAGGAAGTTATGGGTACTCAGGCAGAGGATACACTCTACCCCAACTGTTGATAGAACACTGATTATCTGTGAGGAATGACTCTTCCAAGCACATTGTTTTGGGTTCCTGAGAACTTCAAATACAATTCAATAATTATTATTTTTCTAATCCAAATATCAGTACAGTGAACAACGTCCCACATAATTCATCCCAAGGGATCTTGACTTGATTAAAATGAACCAATGAGCCTTATACAAATGCCTTGCACATAATTTCATTTTGAATTGGCAATGTGGCATAGTGTAAAGAGAATTGAACTAGAAATCAGGAGAGCTGGTCAAAGCTGGAATCTTTTTCCAGTGAGCTGTGTGTGATGTTTAATCTAACATGTCAACTTGACTGGGCCACAGCGTGCCCAGGCATTTTGTGAAACATTATTCTTGGCGTGTCAGTGAGGGTGTTTTTGAAAAAGATTAGTATTTGAATGAGTAGACAGAGTAAAATGGGCGGGCCCCATCTAATCAGTTGAAGGCCTGAATAGAAAAAAAGGCTGAGCCTGCTTCAAGTAGGAGGGAATTTCTTGGGGCTAGGACATGGTTTTTCCCCTGCCTTCAGTCTTGAAGAGCAACATCAGCTCTTCTTGGTTCTAGAGCCAACCAACATTCCCACTGGAAGTACACCCTTCGCTCTCCTGTGTCTCCAGCTTGCTAACTACAGATCTTGGGACTTATCGGGCTCCATAATGGTGTGTGCCAATTACTTATATTAAATCTCTCTATCTCTTTCTGTAGCTCTACCTCCCTTATAATAATAAATATTTCTATCTATCTATCATCTATTTATCTATCTATACATCCTGTTGGTTCTGTTTTCCTGGAGAATACTGAATAATATAGTATATAGTCTGACCTTGAGCAAATTCACATAGCTTTCTGAACCCCAGTTTTCTTTATTTGTGTAGTGAGAGAATTGGTCAGAATAGGTCCCTTATAGCCCAGAGGTCCAATCTAGCTTTTAAATTTGTAATTTATTTGACCTTTCTGGGCTCCCTCAGAAGAGATATTTTTGCCTCATTATCCCTGGGAAGAAAACAGGATACATTTTCTTTTTTTCATTTCCTCATTTGTCAGAGGCTTTAAAAAAAATCCTGTTTCCTCCTTCTTGATGTTCTGTTCTAATCTAGGCCACCTGTGGACAGAACAACATTATTAGTCAGGGAACCATGACTGGCTATAATCACCCTCTCTCACCCTCTTGCTAAAGGAAAGGCTTTCTTGCAAATAGAATAGCTAGTGATAGGTTAGGTATATTGGAAAAAGCAGCAAGTTTATACAAATATTGTGGTACTCAGTGAAGGAAGAACTCTGCTGTGGGTGGGTGAATTTTCCAATATTACTTGCATGGCTATGCACAAACTCTCCCTGGTGGTGACTGCTCCGGCCAACCTGACGTTGAGTCTCCTCATGGTTGGCAGTTGTAGACTGCAGTGGAACAATCAGTTCCTTGGTTATTCTCCAAGGTGAGCAAGGTCAGTTTTAAACAGCTTTGCTGTCAGGCAGCTTCATATTTTACTCTAGTCTCCTAACCTCACAAATCTTAAGGCTGGCGCTGAAGTCAATGAGTCCTCTGCAGCCCAATTCCCCACAGCTGCTTCTCTCCTCTTACAAACAATGCCTCATCATGGCTCTGCCAACCCACACAGGTTTTTAGGGAGCAAAACTGCAATTAGTCAGTGTAGCCATAATTCAACTGTAATACAGTATTTGCTTTCACCAAGTGTCCTTTTTTTGCAGTCCAAAATTAAGCAGCCACCAAAGGAAAACAACCCTTGAAGGTTTGCCACTTTGTATCATATCACAGAGCCGACTTTGAGATTTGTCAAATGATTGTCATAGGAGAATGTGAGATTACACAGTCATTTGCTTATTAGCATTTCATTGAAAACATTACCATATCGAATTGACTTAATTCTCCTCAGGGTATAAATATTTACATTTTCCAAACTCCCATTATATTTCTTGCCCCTGTTTTATTCTTCCCACTAAAAAAAAAAAAAAAAAAAAATGAACATGATCCACAGAAGTGTTCATCTTACTTAAAGGAAGAAGAAGCCTGAAAAGAAATGATTCATGAGATGACAGATGTCCTAAAAAGGAAATATCTACAATATAAGACTATTTAAGCCCCTATTTTCTTAAGTAACAGTGATGGTCCTAACTACAATTATATCCAGCATTTTATTTCAAGTAAATGAGCTAAATAATGATGTTGTTTGAAGATAGATGCCTATTACTATGTAATAGACTACTTGTAGACTTTTACCATCAGTGCATAACTCTTTTTGGGGTCCCTGTTGAGCAGATCTTAATTTGCTCCCTACATGTCACTGACATCTTCGGGTCACCAGCAGGAAACTGGACACTCCATGGAAACAATCCTGGGAAAGGAGTGAAAAGATCTGCTTTCTATTTCTGCTTCTTGAACCGTGGACCAGCACAACTCTAAGGGACCTGTCTGGTTGGATGGGACATTGCATGGACCAGCTTAGAAGATTAATTGATGGTCCATGTTCTTTGAATTTTGTTGGTGGCCAGAGCTTGGACCAGAAGGATGAGGATAAGTAATTTGCTTATCCAGTTCTTAGTGGCCTGGCCAGTATGTCCATCCTCTTATGGTTGACGCCTGCCTCAGTAGTGCTTAGAAGCAACTAAATGTTAAAGACTTAGGAAGAAAGCACTTTATGACCGATGAAGTATTTTATAAATTCTTAGATAGATGAAGCAGGTGGTGTTCCATAGCGAATGCTGTGTTGTTTTCCTGTTTCCCTGTTGCATGCAGCAGCTATATAATAAATAGAACTGAGTCCCAAGCAATTATTAATATAGCAATGCTTGTCTTTGGTTGCTCTGACAGAAAAAAATGTAGAGACATGTGGTTATTGTGCTGTATTAACATTTACCTGTGCACTAATGAATGGGGAGAGAATTGCCCTAGGAAATCTCTTAACTTTTCCAGGCCTCAGTGTCCTCATGGAGGAGGTAGGGATTATAATAACTAGCTTATAAGGTGCTTATTTTTGTTAATGCATTCTCACTGCCACTTTGCTGGCCCCAGACCTTCCTCTCCTGAAGCCTAAAATTATCTCCTTGCTTTTCTATCTCGTTTCTGGGCTTAATCTGTTTCCCTTTCTAATCCCTCCCACTCTCATTGCCAGGCTAATCTTCCACAAGCCATGCCTTGATTGTGTTGCTCTGATACTTCCAGAAATGCCATCTGTTTGCTGCCCCATCAAATCTAATGTTAGTGGGTAAATTATATGACCTTATAGTGGTGGCATTTTCTGGGTTATCAGTGCTGGGCCAGTAGGATGGTATTTTCTCAGGATAACTAAAAGTACCCAGGGAAGGAGGAAGCTTCTCATTGTCCCCAGTTCAAAATGAGTTATTTCCCACTTTGGCCCTGGATATTAGAAATGGATATTAGAAACTAATAGGAGCTAGTAGTGTTTTTATGCTTTTTAGCTGCTTATAAAGCACTTTCACTGATATTTACTTATTGAGAATTTATAAGGTCTTCCAGAATTGCTATGCACTTTGGGTTTGGAGGTAGACGCAAGAAGATAGGATAAGCGGAGGGAGTAGGGGTGAGGAATTTAGACTTACAAAAATATTTATTTGATGGTGAATTGCTTTTTTTTATTGGTCATAAGGAGACCCATCTCTTGGAGTGTTGAGAAATATATACATGAGAGAAAGAGTTTACTTCTCTAATATCTCAGTAAGAAAGAGAATGCCAGATGCACAGATATATAAGAAATAAATATGAAGGTTAGCCAGCCCTCAGGAACTGGCAGTAGCAACACCTGTATTCAGATGATGGCACGGAGGGATTTTGAACTTTTCTTCCTCAAGCCAGTTTGTATGGTTTAATAGTTTTTCAGATGACACAAAATTTCAGTAAAGAGGGCAAAACTGAGAGCAAAGTAATACTGGGAATGAAAAAAGCATCAGCGGGAAAATGGAGAGCTGCAATTTTTGCACCCACACGTGGATTATTTCTAAGATTATATCGCCACCTAGTAAATCAGCATAGAAATGCATGCACAGCCTAGGGCAGCGGCAGCCGGGCGCTGAGCTCTAAGCTTCTGGTTACAATTGCTGCCGGCACATTTCTCGCAGCATCTGAACGCTCAAGGCAAGCAAGCGACCTCTCCCAGCCTCCCCAGTGCTCAGTGCCCAGTCCCAGCTCACATTCTCCTGTTCATCTAGGGCTGTGTAATGCAGCACACATTTTAAATAAGAAGATGGATTGGGAATTTCTCTCCATCTCTGTTATCTACGCTTGGAAAATGACTAGTTAAAACTACGCACATTATCATTTGTCTGTTCTAAATTATTTAACTCCAGGCTATTCCTTACCGAAAATATTTTGTATTTTCTACTTTCATTTCTGTCTGGTAAAAGAAGTGGTCTGGTCACGGTCTTTGTGAGGAATCATTGAAATCCTGGAATTAGAAACACTGAAGTGATAACCCTACTTTTTTTTTTTTTTTTTTTAAGTCATGTCTTTAGTTTTTCTGTTATCTTAAACAATCTCTTGTTTCTTCTGCAGTGGTTGTTTGCATGGAATGTTTGATCACCTGCTCTGTTTTTTGTTTGTTTTGTTTTTCATAAAGAGATTGCTAGCTTGATAAAAATATTGCACAGACTTTTAAGGCTTGGTGTCTACAGGGAGTTGATTACATGGGCTGGCATCCTGGCTATATATGCCTCTTGCTAGTCCCGATTTTTTTAAATCTGTGAAATGGGGACAACAATAGCATATACATCACTAGACTTTTAGGAGAGGGAAGTTAAGCAGAAGTGCTGAAAATGTTAACTTTTATTATTAACAATAAAAATATAAAACAAATGCCATACAGCAGAAATTAAGAAATGGTAGAAACAAAGAATAGAAACTAATTTCATCTTGCCACTCACAATAGATCAAAATGCTTTAGCCAAACAAGTAGATGCAGACAGAGGAGGCATATATTCCAAGACCAGGAAGCCATCTATCTTTAAAACTTCAAGTGATTATATTTCATAAAATTATTTAAATTTTAATAATTACAAAATTGATTAAATTCAAGTGCTTACAAAACCTTGAAAATGCACCTCCATTCTTTTTTGTATGCTTTCTTCCTTCCTTCCTTTTAGAAACCTATCCTCACTTCAGCTCTTCAAATAATACCTCTATTTCATTTTAAGGACTGCTTAGAATATTTTGGCTGAAGGAATTAGCCAAAGTTTAGAGTGGAAAGTAGGGGAGGGGAGATTTTTGTTGTGGGAGTCTTGCCCATAGGGACTGTCAGTCATGTAATTATCAGCTTCACTTCAACCAGACATGGCAGAGCCTGCTGTTTGCCATCGAACAGCCATTTTTCTTTTTTTCCTTAAAGGCAATAGAACTTTTGGCTAGCACATAACCACATGGCTAAATATGTCCTAGTTGACTCATGAAGTGTGTCCTTCAGACTTATGATTTGTGTCACGTCTGGGTCATGCCCTTATGGAGAACATGTGTGCCATCTTCCCCTTGCCTTTTCCTTCTTTTCTGCTGGCTGAGATGTAGATATGATGGTGGGAAAAGAGCAGCCATCATGGGCTAAGAGGTGGAAGCTAAGTTTTAAAGAGGAGCAGAACAAAAGATAAAAGCAGCCTGGTTTCCCAGCTCCACTGATGTTCCCTAACAACCATGAATTGCCTAAACAGACCTGCAGATGAGAGGGAAGCCAATTCCTATCTTACTTAAGCTGATACAGTTTTGAGGCTCTTTGTTACAGCCATCTAAGCTGTGTTACATGAATTCTAACAGTCTCAAAGTGGAACAAGCCCTAGAAATATTAATGTAAATTACAGATTTTAAGTATGAAGAATGCCTGCAAGTCACTATTTCCCAAAGACTGGCCCTTTAAGGATGTTAAGAAAGAAAACACTTTTTATGTATGCCAAGAAGAGTTCTCTTCTTTTTTTTTTTTTTTTTAAGATTTTATTTATTTATTTGACAGAGATAGAGACAGCGAGAGCAGGAACACAAGCAGGGGGAGTGGGAGAGGGAGAAGCAGGCTTCCTGCTGAGCCGGGAGCCCGATGTGGGACTCGATCCCAGGACCCTGGGATCATGACCTGAGCCGAAGGCAGTTGCTTAACCAACTGAGCCACCCAGGCGCCCAAGAGTTCTCTTCTTAATGGTAGGAGAATTCTACTGTGTGGTGCTGAGGAAGGGAGATCCTACTTTCTTAAAAAGAAGCTGTGAAGAAATTAACTCAGGGTAGAAGGGTGGTTTGTCTGGCACCCAAGTTTTATGCAGAACAAAGAAACAACACTACATAAAAAGGAGGGGAAAAGAGCAGGGGCTATATCTGAATACTGTGTAGAAAGAATCATGGAAAAAGCCATGGTGGACAAACCAAAGAAGGCCTTTAGGAGATAATAAAATACTAATTGAGGTTTATTAAGATATTTGCTGCCTGGATTGCAGTGTAATCTATCTCCTCTAATATGAGCTAACCATTATTGGACCCTTCTTTTGTGCCAGACATTGCTCTAAGGGCTTTACATATATAACACATGTGGTCCTTATACAACTCTCTGAGGCAGGTGCTATTATAATTTTATTATGTATTATATAATATATGTTATATTTTGATTTTCCAGATAAACTGAAGCAGAGAGAGATGAAATTACTTGACAAAGTCATACCTGATAGTAACATTTGACATTTAAATGCACGTTGTTCTAACCAATGTGCTCCACTATTTTTATAAAATGCTTACTAAATTTTCCACTGCTAATTATTATTTTCAGTCAAGTAGAATTTGGACACATTGTTATATTTATCAAATAATACCCGTTAGTATACTGAAGATTTCCCAGTAAATAAATCAGCTTAACTCTGTTAAATTCAGAATTTCCCAAACATAGTTGATCACAGAACTAATGTATTAAGCACTATCAACACCCCAAGAAGCTAGTGTTTCACAGAAACATACTTTTTGAAATTCTAGGGGAGGAAAATATGCTGACCTCATTGTCAGGAGGTCTACGACATGGTCCTGATTTGGTATGTATGTGATCATATGGCTTTGAGCAAGTCATTGCAGATTTCTGGGCTTCAGTTTCTTGATCTAGGAAAATAGTGGCCTTGGACTTGATGAAAAGATGGTCAATGACATCTGAGCTTAAGAACCAGACTTGTACTTGGAAGAAGCAAAAGCAGAGCTCCATCTATGAAAAAGTGAGTAACTAAGTCCATTTTTAAGTGGAAAGGGCAAAAGTAGAACCAGGGAGATTCTGTAATGAGAGGCTTAAGCATTTGAGCACTGGCATCGATGAATATATATGGCAGATGCCCCATAAGTATTTGGGTTCTGCATCTAGACTTCGTAATCATGAAAAGTCACTGATTTCCATGTTACCTCAGACCCCACTACCTTTCCCATAAGTATCTCTTTCCAACTTGTGACCCAGGACATCCAACCAGTTATTTTACATTTATCTCATTCACATACACCTTGACAAAACTTTTATAAAAGAATGACTCAAACAAAATTGACAGCTGATCCTTGGCCAGGTATATAAGGTAGAGGGAAATATCCTAGGCAGAGAAAGTAGCAAGTGCAAAGGCTTGAAAGTAAGACAAGGTGAGATAGGTTCAGTAATCTGTGAGTAATGCAGTATCTGAGTTTATGGGATTGTAGGTGTGGGGGTTTGTGAAGAAGGAGGACTGCAGGGAGAAGTGGCTAGAAATATAAGCTGGATCTGAGTAGTTGAGTTTGTTCAGTGTGACATTAAGATTGCCTCTTCCTTCATAGATTCAAGTTTTAGTAGGAGTTTCCAACAATTAAACACAAAATAAAACTCCCTTCCTTCTGATGAAATTTCATGACTTTTTACTGCTTTTTTTTTTGAAAAATTAAGATAGAAGTACAATTAATTTCCCAATTTTGTCCTAATAAAATAATCCAATCATCATGATATTGTGATGGGATAGATCATGATTTTTCAGATGTATGTTTATTCACATTGGAATAATTTGCCCTCCTTCTATAATATGATACCTTCTACAAGTTCCTCATGATGTGGGCTGTCTTACAGACGTCTACGATAAGGTTCTTTTGGAACTTTTGTAACTAAATTCATCTCTGAGTGGGACCAGAATAAAAGAGAGGTTTGTGTATTAGATATAATTGATGTTATTGCTGGGGACCACTGGTTAAAACAAATCTAGTGAATACAGAGGAAACCTTCACTTATGAAACACAGAACACACTCCTCTACCTGGTCTGAGCTACCAGTTCAGTCTCATTCATCCCCAGCCACTCCTCCTTACTACACAGTGCCACTTGTCTCCTCTCTTGTCACTCTGGATCCCCCACTGCTCCTTGAATATCCTTGCCTCTTCATGTTAAGCTTTTGAACATGCTCTTTTCTCTCTCTGGTCCAGGTAGAGACATACCTTTGGCTGTTACAATAATGTTTTGATACATTTTAAGTAATTTGGCATCAGTTCCTTACTGTCATTTAGGTCAGCTATAACAGCTATTATTTGTTTTTAAATATTTTATTTATTTGACAGAGAGAGACACAGCGAGAGAGGGAACACAAGCAGGGGGAGTGGGAGAGGGAGAAGCAGGTTCTCCGTGGAGCAGGGAGCCCGATGTGGGGCTCGATCCCAGGACCCTGGGATCATGACCTGAGCCGAAGGCAGATGCTTAACGACTGAGCCACCCAGGCGCCCCTATAACAGCTATTATTAATCTTAAAATTAATTTGATGGAGAAAGAGGAATTGGTGAAAAGGAAAAAAATTGGGGGGATTGAGAAAGGAGACTCTTCCTCCAACTTTTCTATTCAGAGACAACATCTGTAATCCACATTCATAGCTAGCAGTTTAGAGGAGAAATATCCCTCTTTGAGATCCACTTGGGGGGAAGGAAGGAAGCAAGGAAGGAAAGAGAGAAGGAAGGAAGGCAAGAAGGAAGGAAAGAAAGAAAGAAGGAAGGAAGGAAAGAAGGAAGGAAGGAAGAAAGGAAGAAAGAAAGGAAGAAAAAAGGAAAGAAAGGGAAAGAGGAGTGGGGGAAAAGAAGTAAAGATAAAAGAATCTACTTTATTTTAGGTGCTCTTCTTCCTAAATGAGCATACACAATTTTATTTTAGTTAATCCTCATAGGTTCACAGTCCTGTGAGGTTGGAATCACTATTTCCATTTCACTTTGAAGCATAGAAGACTCAAAAAGTAAGTAATACTTCTGAGGTTTTGTAGCTACTAATATGATGGAGCTAGAATTCAAACCTAGGTTTTTAAGACTTAACGTTTACCTCTCTTTCCATTTCAATGACTACCAGCTCTGCTTTTTTTTTTAGTTATGTTATGTTAATTACCGTACATTACATCATTAGTTTTTGATGTAGTGTTCCATGATTCATTGTTTGCGTATAACACCCAGTGCTCCGTTCAGTACGTTCCCTCTTTAATACCCATCTGCTTAATGCCTTCTTACAGGTAAGAAGTTCTGAGGTGGTAATTTTGGTCTCTTGATTTACAGCCCAATGTTCCAGTCTTATTCCATTTGCACTACAGGGTTTTGGATGGGAAGGTACATATTGTCCTATACTTTTGGTTGTGGTCATCAACATTAACCATCGACTGAATGGCCATCTGTTGGCTTAATTTAGCACATGGCATTACTCATGTTTTTTTCTTAGAAATGATTCGAAAGGTTAAATAATTTTTGACTACCAGGTATAGACCAAACAGCATGCATTGCATATTGTTGAGTAATTCTGAATTTTAAAATTATTCTTGGTTCCATGCCTTGCTCTTTAGAATATATTGAACTAAACATGGGCTACGCTAGATGTTAGGCTAAGAATTTAATAAGCTGTATTCTAAAAGCCCTTCAGGCTCTGGGTTTTTGGCTATCATATTTAGAATTGCGGTGATAATGTGTTACAAAATAAGGGTAACGGGGAGGCACAAAATGGGAAGAAAGAGATTTTTATAATGTTGAAGTGGCTTCATGTATGGTGAAGAGTAAGAATAGGGTTGGCTGTCCTATAGCATCAGGCGATGACAGTTTAAAAAAAGAACACTATAGTAGCAATACTTTAAATGAGAAAATAGCTCTGCTTTATCTCACCCTGGCCAATATAAGATGTTTTATCTTTCCAGTTGACTGGATATATAAGTTCTTAATAGAGTTCTCAATAACAACTACAACAGCAACAAAAATAGAAATGAGTAGGCTATAAATGCTTTCAGATCCGCTGAAATTCAAGTGGGTATGTGATATGGAAGGGTTATATTCTTGTCTTTAAATTTTCTAATAAACTTGGTAACATGGTGTTAAAAGTTTATTAGCTTGATGTTGGTTAATCATCCTTATTGTTTCTGTTCTGGACCACAGTAAAGGCACACAAACCAAATTAACCAGCATACAAGCCCTATGTAAGAATCTCTTTAAAATAATTTATTTAGCTAATTCACTCCCACATTTTTGAGCTCTCTGAATTATAGAATTCCTCAAATGAACCAGTACCCTAAGTTGTTTGCCCAAATATAAAGATGAAAAGAAAAATGAGCTCTCTGAAAATACCCTCTGGGACTAATTACCCTGATCTGACTAGACTGGTTGTTAGATCTGAATTATAGTCATGAATAAGTTAGATCTTAATTAAAGTCATGTATGGGGTCCAAGAGGCAATGTCATACAGGCAAAAAAGCTGTTTTGTAATAAGTGGAAATTAGTACCATAATGCTTTATGAGAAATTGGGCTCCTGGTTAGAAACCTATCTGCTGAGATGTGTCAGAAATTTCAGGCTTAAAAAATTTAACCCATCTTCTTTCACCATATATGGCTCTTTTTCTAAATTTTTAGTTCTGAGCCCTATTAATTGTTGGGTTTCCAATAACACAAATTAAATAATATATTTTCAAATTAGCCTTATTTTTCATTTATTTTCTTTCACCGGCAAATGTTTTGTAGCTTTATTTAAGGTTGTAAATTTTCCTAATAGTTCCCAACATCTTATATGGATGGAAGACATAGAAGCAAGGAAGATTCTGGTTAGGTTAGACAATAGAGGAGAGAATCTCCTGGTAGTAGAAGGTATTACACGTTAGAAAGTAGCCCTAGAGTACATAATGGCATTTTCTTCTCTGGAGGCCTTTAAATTTAAAGAAGTTTCCTTTGGAAGGCAAGGGGATGAACTGCTTCTATATTTCTTGTCTGTTCCTTTCACTGAACAATAAAAATGTTCTAAATTTGTCACCAGCCATCGGAAGGAAATAAGGTATCAACTGTGTACCCATAAACCCACCACTGGGACCACCCCCTTGTTAGGCCTAAGCTGAGGAGTTATGCACAGGGGATGCACATTCGAAGGAAGCCTACATTGAGCGCTGGTTTACATTTTTCTGAAATTTTTCATTTAAGTCGAAGTTCCTAATATCTCCTGGGAGAAATAATTTCCTGGGGGAGGGGTGCACAGGAGTTTTAATTTTTACTCCCATTTGAGTAGGACTTAGGATTGATCATGTTTACAAAATGCCCTCACATCTACAGTGAGTTGATAGATAAATAGAAATGGTTATTCCCATTTTATAACTGGAGAAAATTAAGACTTGGAGAAATTCAGTGACTTGCTTAAGGCTATAGAGCTGGAAAATGGCAGAGATAGATCTCAAATGCAAGTGTCCTGACTCTACTAGTGTTTTTCATACATCTTAACATTTTTTAAATGGGGTCAGAGTCCTACTTGGCTGGGAATTGAGGTAGTGAAGGAAGCTCAATAATGTTCTTTCTTAAGGGAAATTCTAAAAATTGCCAGAGTAGGGCTTTTTGCTGTTGATTTGGAGAGTTAAGGCCTCGATTTCAACTATCCCATCTACGAAGCCCAACATGTAATGTTACATTGATATGCACTTGAAGGTACTTGTATAGCCTAGGTCACAGACTCTCAAGTTCTTTTTCAATACATTGGTTCATAAATTCATATACCATTAGGGTCAGATAGGATCTTAAATATTTAATCTACTGTTTTGATTTACACAGGAGGAAACTGGAATAAAAGGACTAATTCTATGCTTGTTCGATATAAATAACAAATGAGAAATCTCAGTGAAAATTTTTTTTTAAAGAAAAATTCCAAAATAGAATAAGAACCACAAAAGCTCTGACCAATGTTCTTTAATAAGAGTTGAGAAGGAAATTAGTAGCTTCTATATTATTCAAA